GCAAGCAATATAACACGTCACCTTTTTCCTGTAAATATTTTCAATTAAAGATTGTTCAAAGGAATCGCCCACAAAAGTACACTCTGAACTCATTCACAATCTACTAAATCAGGGATTCATTGTATACTTACAATTTACCTGAATGTGGACTCTTTCAAGAGATAAATTTTAAAAAATTGCTATTGGTAATGGAGGTGAGGGGTAGTCTTTCAAGAGGGATATAATTTTCAAACAATATATATGCTTGAGTGTCCGATCCAAGAAAAATCGGTCATTGAGAGGGGGTGGTCTTAACAGACAGGTTTCACTATACATAAGGGTTCTTTATCTGTCAATACATACATATATTTAATTTTTAATCAGTCCTTAATCACAATAACAGTTCTAATTGAACTTACAGGAACAGAAGATAAAACATCAAATAGCATAGACAAAAATGCGTCCGGGTCAACTATATGATCCAAAAACTTGAACTGTCGTAAAATCATTTGCGTCCAAGGATAGTTCGCAGATTCTGCTTCCCTGTAATTATTAGATTTTTTGAAGTCATCCATAAATATCTAAATACAATTCACACTAAAATATAAATTAACTAAGAACTAACCTTTCATTGGAACATACAAGCTCAACTAACTTCTCACAAAGAAATTCTACAAGCCTCTTCTGTAGGAAATCTACTGATAGCAATAGATGCATTAAGCTGTCTTGGGAGTTTCTCCACACATGGCTGCTTTCAGGAGACTAGACCAACAATTCAACATTCATAACCAAAATAATCGAAATGACATGCAGCTTTTAACCATCATTTAATCAAAATGCATATTACACAAGAAGTGATTAACTCAGGCTACATCAAAAATTTAATAAAAATACTTATGAATATGAATTACACATTTTTTTAACTCTAACATGGGAAAGAGATTACATTCTTTCAAAGACTGAGACAATGGCAGTTTCAGAAAATAGAGGGGTGGGAACATTTTAAAAAATAGTACAAAATAGTTAGTGGTCCACCTAATAAGAACACCATTACCTACAATAAAATTAGATTGGCTTAAAAATATGAGCATTATAAGAAGATTCAGTACTAATTTTTACTTTCTTGCATACTGCATACAGAGCAAATTGTCTTATATGGTAGCGAAAAACTGAATTTCAAAATGTAAGTTCCCAACACTGAAAAAGTAGACAATTCACGTTTCTATATGTAGTAAATTACTTCCCCTAATGGATTGTGTAGTCTGATTTCTCATCTTGTGGATTCGTGATACTGAAAATTTGGTTTGTCAAAATGACAATCTGTGAACAATGCTAGCCGCTAAATCATAACCATAAGTAGGATTTTCACCAAAATTGCTATTTCCCAATAAAACTGACTGATATTGTAGCCTCTTGTATTTGAAACATATTTTAATTTTTAGGGGTACTTTACAAGAAGTCTCCAGGGCAATTTGATTTCTTTTTCCTCTTAAAATAGCTCCAAATTTTTGGATTAAATTTTTGAATAGGGTAGAGCCAAGTAAGCTTATAAAAAAGGATGCCAAGTCCAATTTTCATTAAATTCTCTGCATTTTCAAAAAATTATTAACCCCCCCCCCCTTTCAAAATTATATCATTAAATGAGATCAGATAATTTTTTTTATCAGTTTCTGTGTAATTTTGCATGATAGGATTCGTGATTTTAAAAATAAGATTTTCTCAAACCTCAAATGGTGGAAATAGATGTGAAAACTCTAGTTAATGTTAAAGTGTTTTCCACAAACACAAAAGTAGGGACTATTTCTATATTTAGTTATTCTCACATTGAAACAACATAGTAGTATAAAGCAAGTAGTACAAAGTTATATTCCTTAATACCACTTCAAACATTAAACATTCAAAAACAATTTTTAACCCAGCAGTACACATTCTGTAGCGTTAATGCATGCACCTAGTCTCACAGATCCTTCTGCTTGCTATTTCCTTAATTCAATTTCCCCTTATAATT